AAAAAAAAAAAAAAAAAAAAAAAATGCCAAAATAGAAAAGTCACCTTTAATTTCACTGCCCAGAAATACCACTCTTAACTCTGTATTTATCCTTGTAGCTTTTTCCTGTGTGCATGTGTACACAATAGGATCTTCTGTGCAGATTGATTTACAATTTGTTTCTTCACTTAATACTATGTTGTAAACATTTCCCGATAATTTTTTTTGCACCTAGCACTGATTCCCCATAATTTTTAATAATAGCATTATTAATCTGTTAGTTGGACAAAATGGCATATATGTAATGAAAATGTCCTTATGGAAATATGCTTGTTTTGCTACTATAAATCGTGCTATTGCACTCCAGCCTGGGTAATGAGTGAAACTCCGTCTCAAGGAATAAAAGAAGAGCTTATTGTACTTGAGTTTAGTGCTTAAGGAATTCAGTCTTTCTGGATATAGCCAGATGCCTTCATAACTGTATCCTGGGAATTTTGAGTAATTCTTTTTTGAGATGGAGTCTCACTTTGTCCCCCAGGCTGGAGTACAATGCTGCAGTCTTGGCTCACTGCAACCTCTGCCTCCTGGGTTCAAACAGTTCTCCTGTTTCAGCCTCCTGAGTAGCTGGCACTACAGGCACCCACCACCACACCTGGCTAATTTTTGTATTTTTAGTAGAGACAGGGTTTCATCATGTTGGCCAAACTGGTCTGAAACTCCTAATCTCAAGTGATCTGCCTGCCTTGGCCTCCCAAAGTGCTAGGATTAAAGTTATGAGTCATCATGGCTGGCCCTCTATCTGAGTAATTCATTGCAGACTACTGAAAGCATTTACACCTAATTCTGAATATAAAATTCTGAACTGGAGTTTTGAAAGTTATTTTCAAATATTTTGAATGATGTTTTACACCATCTTGTAAAATTACAAAAGGATCTTGGTGACTTTTTTGAGTTAACCCATCCATTAGTATTTCTTTTTCTGAGGTAGAAGGTAGCATGAATTTTAATTTTTGTTTTACTTTGCTAATAATTGTTATATTTTCAGGCAATGCCCACCCTAATAGAATTAATGAAAGACCCCAGTGTAGTTGTTCGAGATACAGCTGCATGGACTGTAGGCAGAATTTGTGAGCTGCTCCCTGAAGCTGCCATCAATGATGTCTACTTGGCTCCCCTGCTACAGTGTCTGATTGAGGGCCTCAGTGCTGAACCCAGAGTGGCTTCAAATGTGTGCTGGGTAAGGGATTTTGTTCCTGGTGAGAAAAGGAGCTTGCCTGCACCATTGGCAAGGAAGTAGAAGGTGTGGGAGATAAATGGATCTGCCTCACTGGAAGGCTTTTTCTGAATAGCATTTTCTTTCTAATTTATTCGGTTAAAATGTGGGGGAGATTCCAACTTCAAGAGCCAGTGGGAGCAGTTGACTCATGGTTACTGGTTCCTGAACCACTTAGAACAGCCATGGTAACCCAGTGGGGAAACTATCTGGACTTGGCTTGCTCTCTTAAATTACTTGGGGACAAAAAGTTTTGATTAAGGTAGAGAGTTGTTGGCTACAAGAACTGTAATTGCTGAGAAGAGAGCAAGAGGGAAGGAAGGTAGGTAGCCTAAATGCTGAGTCAGTATGGCCTAATGTAATTTGTTAAGGGGAGGAGGTTGAAATAAGGAAGGAATGGGGCTCAGAGTCTTTCTGTGAATGGAAACAGACTAAATGAAATGGCAGGTATTGCTGAAAGTACTCTGCTGCTTAGAGAGTTGTTAGATTATCAGACAGGATGATGAGAGATGTCAGATTATCAGTTATCAGACAGGATTTTTGTGATTGAAAACATAAGAAATTAAATGGCAGTTGTTGCTGAAAATACTCTGCTGCTTAGAGAGTTGTCAGATTATCAGACAGGATGAATAGAAAGTACAAATCAAATAAATAGTTAATTTAAAAGATACCTGTAAAATGTTGTCTTGAGATGATCTTGGCAAAAAAAATTGGAGGTTCACTGACACGGCCCAAAAATGTCTTAATGAAAAATGAGATAATCCTAAAGTGTGGGGTTATTTCAGAACTAACATTAAACTTACCTGCATTTCAGGCTTTCTCGAGTCTGGCTGAAGCTGCTTATGAAGCTGCAGATGTTGCTGATGATCAGGAGGAACCAGCTACTTACTGTTTATCGTCTTCATTTGAACTCATAGTTCAGAAGCTCCTAGAGACTACAGACAGGTAACTGATATTCCACAAAAATGAGGGACATCTTTGCATCCAAGCTCTGTTGCCTCCTATGTGGAGGATATCTAGCTTAATCATAGAAACATAGTGAGAAAGGACAAGACTCTACCTTGTCTAGAGGAATTAAAAGAATCCTGCCAGGCGTGGTGGCTCACGCCTGTAATCCCAGCACTTTGGGAGGCCAACGCAGGTGGATCACCTGAGGTCAGGAGTTTGAGACCAGCCTGGCCAATATGGTGAAACCCCGTCTCTACTAAAAATACAAAAATTAGCTGGGCGTGGTGGCGGGCACTTGAACCCATGAGGCAGAGGTTGCAGTGAGCTGAGATGGCGCCCCTGCACTCCAACCTGTGGGACAGAGTGAGACTTTGTCAATTAGCCAAGCGTGGTGCATGCCTGTAATCCCAGCTACTCAGAAGGGTGAGGCAGGAGAATTGCTTGAACCTGGAAAGCGGAAGCGGAGGTTGCAGTGAGCTGAGATTGCGCCATTTCACTCCAGCCTGGGCAACAAGAGTGAAACTTCGTCTCAAAAAATAAAAGAATCCCATGATTGATTGGTTTGTTTGTTTAAAGATGGAGAAAGAAATACAGATTCTGTCTACCTTAGAACTGTTCAGTTTACAGCTGAAATCTAAAAATAGTATAATTTCTCTACTTTCTTTTTAAAGAGTAATTGATCTAGAGAGGTTACTTCATTTTGCAGTGTTGACAGTTAACAGGTGTATTTTGTTGTAAGAGAAATGATAGCACTCACTATTAATTTGATTGCCACCAAATCATTGACTTCCTTTTTGTTTGTTTGATTTTTTTT